GACAAGTGTGTGTGTGTCCGTCCCTCTGTGTGTGTGTGTGTGTGTCTGTTCTAGTTCACTAGTGTTCATCAACATCTCTGCCAAATAAAGAAGCCATGACTAAACAAGCGTTGCTCCACTGACTGTTTTTCACTTGAACTTCCTGCCAAACACAAAAACACAAAGAGGTCAGTGACCCCTGCAGCACTGGAGGAAGAGTGTGAGTGAGTGTGTGAGAGAGAGAGAGAGTGTGTGTGTGCGTGCGTGTGTGAGAGTGTGTGTGAGCGAGAGAGAGTGTGTGCGTGTGTGTGTGTGTGAGAGAGAGAGTGTGTGTGTGTGACTGAGTGTGTGTGTGCGTGCGTGTGTGAGAGTGTGTGTGTGTGTGTGAGAGAGAGTGTGTGTGTGTGTGTGAGGATTGTGAACGCTGAATCACATCAGTGAGCATGTGCCAGAATCACTGACGCTTTTCCAGTGCCAAAATCACACCATCCTGATGCCTTGAGCTGCCAAACCAGACCTGAGACCCACAGAGCCAAAGACAAGTGTGTGTGTGTCCGTCCCTCTGTGTGTGTGTGTGTGTGTCTGTTCTAGTTCACTAGTGTTCATCAACATCTCTGCCAAATAAAGAAGCCATGACTAAACAAGCGTTGCTCCACTGACTGTTTTTCACTTGAACTTCCTGCCAAACACAAAAACACAAAGAGGTCAGTGACCCCTGCAGCACTGGAGGAAGAGTGTGAGTGAGTGTGTGAGAGAGAGACTGAGTGTGTGTGTGCGTGCGTGTGTGAGAGTGTGTGTGTGTGTGTGAGAGAGAGTGTGTGTGTGTGTGTGAGCGAGAGAGAGTGTGTGTTTGTGTTTGTGTGTGTTTGATGATTCTAGAGAGTTTGTTCCACTGATTCAGTTCGAGTGTCACTGAAGTTATTTTGCAATACAGTGTAATCTTAGTATTATTTATGTACTATTATACTATTTATTCATATTATGAATGAGCTTTTTTTTCCAGTTTTAATTTTAGTTAAAGTTTCCGTCAGTTAATATTTATAGTTCATTTTTCTATTTAGTTTTAGTTTTATTATAGTTTTAGATTACTATGGAAAATTCTGCCACATAATAATAATAATTTAAAAAGTATGACTTTTTTCTCAGAATTGCACAAACTCAGAATTCCGACTTTCTCACAATTTTGTGTTTGCATCTCGCAATTCTGTTTTTTGTTTCCACCACAGAATAAAAAATAAAAGGGGTAATTGTGACTTTTTTCTCGCAATTGCCAGTTTATGTTGCTATTCTGTGTTTGTATCGCACCATTCTGACTTTTTTTTTTTTTACTTTGAATTGCAAGAATTGTGAATTTTGAGAAAAAATCACAACTACTTTTTTTTTAATCCCGTGGTGGAAACAAGCTTCCATGGATTACAGTCTGTCTGTAGTGTAAGTGTCAGACATCAGAGCTGCAGTTGCTCTCATAATCATGGAAATATGAAGCCTTAAACGGACAGTTCATCTAATAATGATCATTGTCTGTTTACTCTTCATGTCTATAAACCTGTATGACTTTGTTCACCAGAAAACAAAGGAAAACTTTTTTTTTTCCATGCAAGAAATGTTAATGGGGTCTGATGTTGTTTAGACTCCAGTGTTCTTCTAAATATCTTAGTTTAAGATGTGCAGAAAAAAGGTTTGATTGACATTCGGGAGAATAAATTAATGATTTTTAGGTGAACCGTCTCTTTATAGTGGCGTTTCATACATGAGCAGAGTCTGATCAGCACTGGAGACTCGATGATCAACCATCAGACTCACATTAGAGTGTGTTTATACTGCAGAAGAGCTGATGTGAGTGAATCTATTGCCACACACTCACACACACACACACACACACACACACTCACTCACACACACAGACACACACTCACTCTCTCACACACACACAAACACTCTCACTCTCTCTCTCTCACACACACACACACACACTCACTCTCACACACAGACTCACACACACGCACAAACACAGACACACACACTCACTCTCTCACACACACTCACTCACACACAGGCACACACACACTCACTCTCTCACACACAGACACACTCACACACACACTCTCTCACACACA